AATTTAACTATCGAAAATTTAATTTTGCTATAAAACAAAATATCTACTTTTTTAAATTAAACTGTATGCCAATTAATTTATGCTTTTTAATAGATAGGAAATTATATTTTAATTTATAGGAGTCACGCAAACCAAACGCTCACGGCTGTGGCTCCGTCGATCGAAAAAAGAAAACCGTTCCGTAAATGTATATAATATAAATATCGTTTCCTATATATTAATACTTCAAATTTCTATTCATGATAAGATAAGTATTAAGACAATTTTAAGAAATTCATGATAATATGATTATGATAATTTTATTCATTATGGTAAATTTTATTTATTTAATAAATGTGTTATCTATTTTTAATTGTTTATTTTAATGATTAAAAATTAAATTATCTATGTGTAGAGCGGGCGACACCCCACTGATACTTGCACTACCGGGGTACGCTAGCCGGTAGGTATGTAACGCGAGACCTTGAATGAGTGACGGAGCCCTGCTATAAGCACGCTCACTCACGGTCAGTTTGGAGTGATGCAAATGAGTTCAAACACGATCGTTCTATCTAGTGCCGTCACTGAGAACCTATACCCACCTTCGGATTGCTCCATTAGAAAGGTGAGGTCATAACAGTCTCCTAGGTCTTTATGAGCCCTTTCAAATGAGTTCAAACACGATCGTTCTATCTAGTGCCGCCACTGAGATCCTATACCCACCTTCGGATTGCACCATCAGAAAGGTGAGGTCATAACAGCCACCTAGGTTTTCATGAGCCCTTTCAAATGAGTTCAAACACGATCGTTCTATCTAGTGACGCCACTGAGATCCTATACCCACCTTCGGGCTGCACCATCAAAAAGGTGAGGTCATAACAGCCACCTAGGTTTTTATGAGCCCTTTCAAATGAGTTCAAACACAATCGTTCTATCTAGTGCCGCCACTGAGATCCTATACCCACCTTCGGATTGCACCATCAGAAAGGTGAGGTCATAACAGCCACCTAGGTTTTCATGAGCCCTTTCAAATGAGTTCAAACACGATCGTTCTATCTAGTGACGCCACTGAGATCCTATACCCACCTTCGGATTGCACCATCAGAAAGGTGAGGTCATAACAGCCACCTAGATTTTTATGAGCACTTTAAATGAGTTCAAACACGATCGTTCTATCTGGTGCCGCTAATGAGATCCTATACCCACCTTCGGATTGCACCATCAGAAAAGTGAGGTCATAACAGCCACCTAGGTCTTTATGAGCCCTTTCAAATGAGTTCAACCACTATCGTTCTATCTAGTGCTTCCACTGAGATCCTATAATCACCTTCGGTTTGCACCATCAGAAAGGTGAGGTCATAACAGACACCTAGGTCTTTATGAGCCCTTTCAAATGAGTATCTAGTGCCGTCACTGAGATCCTATACCCATCTTCGAATTGCACCATCAGAAAGGTAAGATCATCACAGATACCTAGGTCTTTATGAGCCTTTTCAAATGAGTTCAAAGTTCAAACACGATCGTACTATCTAGTGCCGTCACTGAGATCCTAAACCCCTATATAGGTCTCCATTAACCTTTTTGAAAATGAGTCCAAACACGTTGGTTCTACATAGTAGCATAACTGAGATCCGTTATCCACCTTCTGAGTCCACCATAAGGAAGGTGACATCATCACAGTCCGACCGAGTCCGAGTGGCGACCATAAGAACGGTATTTACGGTAGTCCCATCAAAAAAAAAATTAATAGGTTCCACAATAAAATATTATCGTGCGCCCAGCGAAGCGAGCGGGTATCAGCCAGTTTGAAGAATATTAAAATCGTTTCAATACTATATTGAAATCGTTTATCATATTTTTTAATTTTTAGTACAATTACTTATATAATTTATTACTATCTTTATATATAAAAATTACGTGTCACGTTGTTTGTCCGCGATGAACTCCTAAACTACTGAACTGATTTCAATGAATTTTTGCCAGCTAGTTATATTTTAAAATTTATTACTTATTCGTGGGCCAAAATATGTCCTTTTCTATCTTTATTGTTTTTAGAACTTTATTATTGATGGTATGATGGTGTTTACCCAATTGACCTTATACCTAAAGCCTATTTTCTTCAGTTCAGTTATAAAAAATTTACGACGTGTCTATCTTTCCCTCCATATGATTACTGTTAAGCTGATAAGAAAGAAAGAACATACTTCTGAAATTGATTAGCATTTAACAATTTGCAATAGTAGTTTGGACTGTGACCAATACCTTATTAAATACATTTTGTTCCTGGTGGACGTAGTTATCTATTGTACAAAGTGTCAGTGTGTGTAATGTACGCGTATATTAGTGCTATGTGTTTTTGAGTTTGACAAATAGCTGACGATAGACAAATTATATAAAAGGAAGTTTTGTATTATAAATTAAATTACGTTTCTAGACATGACTTATGATAAGACTTGCAAAAACAACTGAATCGGCGCGAAGCTCAAGCAAACGCGCTTATTACTCAGGTATTGCCAAAGAAACCCTATAAGCTGACTACGAAAAAGGATTATACCCTAAACGAAGCCAGAAGACCGACAGTATCTGTTACCTATTTAAAAGATTTTCGCCACAGGCACGTGAGGTTGCCTGTTTACACCGTCTCATGCAAAAACAAAATTAAACCGTGACTGTTGAGGAGCCGGGCCAACCTACGCGAATAACAGATCCAAACATTTTTATACTTAGTATAATTATTTATTGTTATACTAATAACTTTTACGCCATCACATATAATAACCATATAAAATAAATGCCACAGATTTTCTGTTTTTAAGTCTAGACTAGACTGTTTTAAGAGTCATAAGTCGTTATACTCGTAAGGCCATCCGTTCACACGGCGACCATCCGATTCGGTTTTTTCACGTATACGCTTCTACCATATACGATGCAATCATTCATTCAATCTTTCATGGCACGCGTGCGAGTGCGTACGATGCGATTATCGAATGCACGAATCGAGTGAACCAGACAACATGAATATAAGCGCCACTGCGTGTCTTATTCGATAAAATCGTTTCGAAGCGCCGCATTTCAGTGGCAACATCGTACGGTATACGGTAAAAATGTATCTCGAACACGACGTTTTCTCGTATGGACTCCATGTGAACAGTTTGACATATTGTCTACTGCCAGGCCTCTGTCACTCTTGCTACCTGCGCGAAATAATTACCTACAATCGCGAGCTGCCCCTGGGGTAGATCGCAATCGGGGCTAGCGCGCTCTAGGCGATTGAATGTTAAAGCTTTTTAACGCTGTTTACGTAAATATATTTTTTGTAAATACTTGTTGAAATACTCGGCGAAATAGTTTTTGTTTAGTGTTTAGTATATTTAATTGTAGGATAAAATAGTTGAAATAGTTTTAATGTAATTTAAGAATAATACCTATATATATATATATATATATATTACCTCTCTATTTGAAAAATTATAATGGCAAAACGTCGTTCCTACTATAATTGTTGCGGGGATGGATGCTTAATGAGCAATTAAAAGGATTCAGATATATCATTTTTTGAGTTACCAAAGGATAATGAAAGGTAAATTTATTTCATTTTCTTTGATAGATAGGTACTTATAGCGAAAAAATTATTAAGTAATAATTTAACTACAGAAGTAATACCTAAGTACTTTATTACAAAACTTAGTTGAAATTTACTTCACTACCCAAGTACCTACTTACATACCTATACTCGTTGTAATTAAAATATTTTAAGTTATAATAGCACAAAATACTGAAATTAAAACTTTGTTTACAAGATTTTCAACTAGGTAGATTACGATCATATTTCTGTTAGGAATCGTATTTCGGGTTTATTTGTTATTTACGCTATCTACCTATACGAACCAAGCATTACGATTGCCGACCAATGGCCTGGCAAGTTGCATGAGTTGGGCATCACAGAACTCACATCGTAGTCACGCTCGGAACGGCAAAGCGCGTACACGTGTTCGCTTTGAGCGTAAGCGAAAGGTCATTGTACGATAAGACAATGGCATCTAAAGTGGTAAAATGTACAAACTGTAATATTGTTATAAGTGAAGTGCTTGCCTTTATACAAAACAAGGCAGATGTGATGGACGAGGAGAGCATTGTCCGAATTTGTAGCAGTGCTTTTACAGCTGAAGATATCACAATTGCAAAAAGTTTGTTATTCGATTCATTGCCCTCGGGTAAAAGAAAAAATATAAGACGTAGAGATGGAAGATTAACTCGGCGTACAGATGGGAAGTCCCAAAGGGAATTAGAGGACATCATAAGTGTATTCAAAGAAACAGACCCAGACATTACACCGACTTTTGTTGCTCGTGACCTACAAAAACTTCCGCCGATCACCTTCGATCATGTGGATGTAACTCGCTTGCTGAAGGATATAGTTTTGTTGCAACAGGAGGTAAAGCTCATCAAGGATAATTATGTAACCAAAACGTACCTGGAAGAACTAAGGAAAGATAAATATTTTTTAAAAGCATCCACATCACCAGCTCATCATCAAAATGTAGGTAGAATGTGCAGCGCCTACTTGTTGGATGTGGGTACTCCGTTTCGAGACAGTGGACCGATGGGCTTGTCACACGAGTTATCAACAGCTGAGGTACCGTTACAAACAACGGATATACAGACGGAGATGGAAAATATACCTATCGCACATGTAACTAGTCGTGTTCGTGATAGTGTTGATGCACTCACACCTGCGTCAGATATGCATAAGGCGGACCTCTTTACAGATGGAGGCGTGACTGTTTGTAACGGTACAGATGGTCGACAACCGCCCGGCACAGGAAGCGCGAGTGCAACTACTATTCCAACTCACAACTCACCGAGTAAAAGCAAAACAATTGTAGTGAATAGGCCTACTAACAATAGGTCAGTAATAAAAAACACATCTTTAGACGTTAATTTTGAGACTCCGCTAACTATGGCCAAAATTTTGAGAAAAGGTGAAGCCTGGAAAAATGAAGAACCGCCAGAGGGCTGGATAAAAGTTCAAAAGCGCAGATTGCGTAACCGTTTTATAGGGACGACTGGAAAAGCAGAAGTAAAACCGGAGGAGAAATTTAAATCAGCAGACTTGAAAATTCCACTATTTATATCTAACGTACATAAAGAGACGCTAGAAAAAGATATCGTCGATTATATTAAAAATAGAACCAATGAGTTAGTCACACTAGAAAAAGTGACAATGAAAAAAGACAAAGGATACAATGCCTACAAGCTTTACGTGTCCAAACAAAAACTTGCAGTATTTTTAAATGATAACCTTTGGCCGGACGGAATCTCGTTTAGAAGATTTGTGCATTTTAAGTACAGACAGCAAGAGGCCTCAGATAATGTGTTAAAAAAGAAAAAAATAGCTAATGCATAGTACAGCAAAATTTACTAGCTTCAACTGTAAATCTGTTAAACGCTCTTTAGAATGCGTAAGACACCTGTGTGAAACTTCCGACGTGCTAGCGCTACAGGAGACATGGCTTCTACCTGATGACATAACGTTTTTAGGTGGGATACATCAAGACTTCAGCTACACTGGTAAGTCAGCAGTTGATACATCGGCCGGTATACTCACGGGTAGACCCTATGGTGGCGTGGCGCTCTTGTGGAGAAATAACGCGTTTGATTGTGTCAGTGTGATCGAATGTAGTAGTGTGCGTCTCACGGCAATTAAAGTGTTCCATAGTGACCGAACTTACATAATATTTTCCGTTTATATGCCAACGGATTCAGTAGACAATTTAATAGAATTTACATCGTGTATGAGCGAGATAAGTGCTATTATTGAAAATGAAAATGTCGACACTGTATTTGCGTTAGGTGACTTTAATTCCCATCCCGGTACATTATTTCATAATGAACTGATAAATTTTTGCACGGATCAGCAGTTGATTTGTGTTGATTTGGAGGTCCTCCCAGCGGACAGCTTTACTTACACTAGTGATGCGCATGGTTGTCGGCGCTGGTTGGATCATTGCGTTGTAACTGAGGCCGCAAGGCGCTCAGTCATAGATTGCAGAGTACTGTATGATACTTACTGGTCGGATCATGTTCCATTACTGGTGGAGTGCAATATAAACTTATTGAGAGAAAAGAATGTAATAAGTTATTTCTGTAATAATAAAATAATTTGGGGTGACAGAAATAATAACCAAATAGAAACTTATAAAAAATTGTGTCACTCTAAATTAAAGGACGTAAATTTTCCACAAGAATTTAAAAGTTGTTGTAATGATATATGTATAAATGATAATCATAAATTAATTTTAGATACTATGTACGGTAATATTGTTACTATTCTTAGAGAATCAGCGCAAAATAGTTATAATAACAAAAAGAATAGGAAATATGTTGCGGGGTGGAACAAATATGTTAGAAGTGCCCACGGGGAGGCTCGACTTGCCTTTCAAACTTGGGTCTTATACGGTAAGCCATCTTCGGGTTATTATTATAATAAAATGTGTGAAACTAGACGAGATTTTAAATCAAAGTTAAAATGGTGTCAAAATAACGCAGAACAACTAAAAATGGACAAGATCGCATCAAGTCACTCCCTAAAGAAATTTAAAGAATTTTGGAAACTTACGAATAAGCTGAGTCCCAAGTCAAGCCTTCCCGCTAATATTCAGGGTCAAAGCCAGCCTGGAGACATAGCCAATCTATTTAAGGATCATTTCAAAGTAGAGTCACCACGCGGTCCGTCTTCGCGAGTAATCGATAGTGAACGTCTTGGACGATCGTGTATAAGGATATCTCCCAAAGAAGTCTCTGAAGTAATAAATTCTATGACTAGGGGCAAATCACCAGGGCATGATGGGCTTAGTATTGAACATCTGGTACATGCTGGTGCCCACCTGCCAAGAGTGTTGGCTATGTTTCTAAGTTTATGTATAGCACATCAGTATCTTCCGACTGATCTCATGAAGACCATTGTGGTGCCTATTCTTAAGAACAGAACGGGAGATACATCAGACTTAAATAATTACAGGCCAATCTCACTAGCCACCATAATAGCTAAAGTGCTGGACAGTCTCCTTGACAGACAATTGCGAAAGCATATTCATCTGCATGATGCACAATTTGGTTTCAAACCTGGATTATCCACAGAGAGCGCAATTTTATGTCTTAAGCAGACTGTAAGGTACTACACAGATAGAAAAACACCGGTGTATGCCTGTTTTTTAGATCTATCAAAAGCTTTCGATCTAGTCTCTTATGATATCTTATGGCGAAAGTTACAGAAGGAGACTAATTTGCCCCAGGAGATTATTTCCGTATTTAAATATTGGTATAGTAACCAAATAAACTATGTTCGATGGGGTAGTAGCTTTTCTGAGAGGTATGGGCTGGAGTGTGGAGTCAGACAAGGAGGGTTGAGTTCGCCTACGCTTTTCAACCTATACATAAACCAGTTGATTGTGGAGCTCAGCAGCACTAAAGTCGGTTGTTCTATAGACGGAATTTGTATAAATAATATAAGCTATGCAGATGACATGGTGCTGCTGAGTCCCACGATAGGTGCACTCAGAAGGCTGCTAGGAATCTGTGAATCCTATGCAAAGACGCATGGGCTCAAATATAATGTAACAAAGAGCGAGCTTATGGTTTTTAATTCAGGCACTAAAAGGCAGCTCACCATGCCTACTGTTAAACTTTGTGATAGTCCTTTAAAGAGAGTCGTCAAATTTAAGTACCTAGGCCACTGGGTAACAGAGGACTTAAATGATGACTTAGATATAGAAAGGGAACGCAGGGCGTTGGCTGTTCGCTGTAATATGCTGGCCCGCAGGTTTGCACGATGTACTAAAGAAGTAAAAGTAACGCTTTTTAAAGCGTATTGTCAGTGCTTTTACACATGCAACTTGTGGGTTAGATATACGCAGCGGGCATACAACGTCCTGCGTGTCCAATATAATAATGCATTCAGGGTGCTGTTGGGATTGCCGCGTTATTGTAGTGCCTCTGCTATGTTCGCTGAGGCACACACGGATGGCTTTCATGCCATTATTCGTAAAAGGTCTGCTTCGTTACTGAGTCGTCTGCGTAACTCAACCAACAGCATTCTGAACACACTTGCTGATAGGTGGGACTCGGCCATTATGAGGCATTGGTTGAGTCTACATGTAAAACTAAATAAGTGAGATATATGTAATGTACGCGGGATGGTTAATTTGATAAGTTAAGAATATAAAGAAAGAGAACTTATTTACTAACACTAGTCTTAAGTTTTTTTTTTTTTTTTTTTATTGTTATACTAACATCTCTATGGACTGAGTCTGAATAAAAAAATATTATTATTATTATTATTATAGTAGATAATATGGTCGAATATATTCAGCATAGGTACTTTACCTAAGTAACTTACCATTTCACAATGTATTTTTTTACTCTATATTAACAGCCCTTAGCAACCACGGAAAGTCCGTTGTGACGTAGTAAGGAGGAAAAGATGCAAAGTAATACGGACACTACTAGTAATAGGGATAAAGTTTTATTTAGCTTGCGTGCGCAATTTATCTGATTAATTATAATTATGTAGGCTATTAAAACGTCGGTAAGCAGTCAACATCAAAAGAATGCAACTTCTGTACGTAGTACTATTATTTATTCTGTGCTACTGCCACTACTATGTTCGATGAAATCTAGTGTACGGTATACGAGAAAAGTATAGCCGTGTGTGAACGTGGCCTAAGTGTTTCGACAACTTTTAATCTTTCGACAAATAAAGTACAAAAGTCATGCATTTACATCATAGAAATTTACATGTTATGTTATATGTAGGTTCATTGAAATGAAAGAAAACATGCATGTCTCAGAACTACTATAAATTGATTTATTATGAGACCTTTTTCCTTTTTCATTCAGAACAGGGCATTCCATCTTTGTCCTAAGGGATGAAAAAGATAGATGTAGTTGTATATGGGCTACAGCATCCACTTCTTTACTTACATATTTTATTTTAGGCATATATTTTCGCCGCTACCTCTTTCGCATAACCAAATTTTTCAAATGTAACAACATTTTTAAAATGTCATTTTAAAATGTTTGAATACATTTTGTGAGCGCAAATGGGTACGAACGACGAACAATATTGCACCTCGTTCGTTATCGTTACAGCCAATAGGCTTTAACGTTAAAGTGCACTGCTAAACATAGGCCTCCCTCACAGATCACCATAGTTGCCACGCTTGGCAAGCGGTTCGGCAGTGTTTTTTTTTTTATTTTTAGTATCTCCTGATTTGTTTCCCTGTATTGATTCTTACGACACCCACGGTAATGTAAGAATATCTTCTACCCCATGATATGGGGTAGAAGATTTATATTCTTACACCACTACTACACGGGGGAAAATGCACCTACCAGACTTGTTTTCAAACATTTGCACACACATTTATTTTATTTTATGGCAAAGATGGTTCTCACATTGGTTGATAATTAAATGGACGCCGTTTTCATTATTATATTTATGTTGTATTTGGCTGTCATTCTCACGTCATTTTATTCAATTATTATATCTTTTAAAATCTAATATATAAAAATCTATGCTCAATCACCTCAATAGTGTCTCCCAACGGATAGGTCTTAAGATGAACATGGACAAAACAAAAATCATGTTTAACGTCTATGTCACACCTATGCCGGTAGTTGTTGGGAGCACTAAGCTCGAAGTTGTTGACGAGTATGTTTACCTGGGACAAATAGTCCGACTAGGTAAGTCCAACTCCGACCGAGAGGTCAATCGACGGATTCAACTCGGCTGGGCAGCGTTCGGGAAAGTACGACACAACTTCTCGTTAGACATACGTCAAAACCTTAAAACAAAATTGTACAACCAGTGCGTGTTGCCAGTGATGACTTACGGATCTGAGACGTGGTCCTTCACTGCTGGCCGTATGAGGAAGCTCAAGGTCGTTCAGCGAGCTATGGAGAGGGCTATGCTCGGGGTTTCTCTGCGTGATAAACTTAGAAATGAGGATATCCGCAGTAGAACCAGAGTAACCGACATAGCCCAACGGATTAGTAAGCTGAAGTGGCAGTGGGCCGGCCATATAGCTCGAAGAACCGACAGCCGATGGAGAAGAAAGATTCTCGAGTGGCAGCCTCGTACCGGTAGGCGAAGTGTAAGGCGACCCCCCACGAGATGGAGTGACGACCTGGTAAGACATGCAGAAAGTCGATAGATGCAGGTGGCTCAGGACCGTGCTTTGTGGCATTCCTTGGGGGAGGCCTATGTTCAGCAGTGGACTTATGAAAGGCTGTAATGATGATGATGATGATGCTATAAACATTTTTTTATATGTTCGTATTTTATGCGCAGCCGTTCAGCGGATTGCGCTAAAACTATGTCAACTTGTTGCTTGTACTTGTGCGAAGGTTATAGGCATAGTACGATTAACTTACAATAGGTGGCGCACGTATCGCATCAACTATTTGAAAGTTATACATCACTCAACTTCAATGAATGTATTATCATCCCTAATTAAAAAATATAACTCTTCCGCGTCGGGTACTAGCTAGTAATTGATAAAATGATAAAAAATGGTGTAAAAGTTAGCACGTGCTCCGCGGTGAAAGAAAACACAGTTTCGATTTTCATGAGCCGTCCTCCGATTTTAAATTCCTTATTGCTTGCTTAAAGAAGCTCGAGAAATTAGATATAATAATATAATATAATATAGGTTATGGAATATAAATAAATATTTCTGTATACTCCATTGTGACACGAACAACTGTTTCTTTCGTCGGCACACGCGTTACTTACTAAACTTTGCCAATTTTGTAATAAGTGTGACGGGCCGCTCAAACTTTGAACTTTTTTTGCTTTGGTGTTCGCAGAAAAACTCAACACTGGATGGCAAACTGCAAATATGTGTTTAGACTTTGCACACAACGCAAATTGCCGTGAGTTTTATGACTTAGGAGATATTTGCGTATTTGAAGCTAAATCTGGCGCCTTCCTTGTGACTTGTACATCTTGTCTTATAGCCATTTCGTACCCATGTAATAGAACGTAAGAAACTATATTGTACTACTTAATCTCGTGCAGGGGTTACGTAAAAGTATAGAATCATTAGTTGAATACAGTGTATTGTGTGCAAAGGTCTTAGTTATGATTATCTGCAATTTGACCATTGCATTAAAAGAAAAATCTTGGGGGAAAATGTCTTTCTGACGTATTTAAAGGCTGTTGGTTTTTTTTTTATATAAAACTGACGTGACAAACGAACTTATCTACAGTCTACCTGGTAGTAAGTGACTACTGCAGGCCATGGACACCTGCGGCCAATTTAAAACAAAGAAGCCTACAGATTCCTCTGTTTAACTCTATACTCTTCAGACTGGAACACGGCAGTGCAAGCAGTAATATTAGGTAACGGGTGGTACCTGCTCAGACGGACTCCTAGACACAAAAAGAGTCTTAACACCTAGTTAATATGACTGATGGTGACGACGACAAATTGTAATTTACACTGAGACGTTACCAAAGCACAGAATACCAGCGTAAAATAGCAGCTTAACGCTGCTGTGTTTGATACGGTGAGTGTAGAGAACCGGAGACCGTTTTTACTGGAAACATTTTGGCATTCTTTCTTAGTCCTCACGGGTGACAACGCATCTGCATTTTGATTCTTAATCGAAGATAAATGTAGATGTCCATGGGCCACTGCATCCACTTACCATCAGGTGGACTGTGTGCACGATTGTCACCCTTATCCTATAAAAAAAATACATAACAGTACAGGTAACCAAAGATTGACGCCGCGTTATAGCAGAAGTATAAAAAACACGTGTTTAATTATTTATTGCTAAATGCTTGGCCTTTACTTAGTGAATCATAACCTATTCTCGAATTCGAAACTAAGGCGATGGCGATAAGAAATAGCGTTGCATTTTGAACTCGAGATTAGTGTGCTCTAAAATATCTCGTTTCGTATCTCGTATATATGGTGTTATATATGCTGTGGAAACAAGGTCGGGTCATGGTCCGGGGAAATAGCGGTGAGGAATACTAATTGACATTTCAAACTTAGGATGACAGAAGATCTTTAATCTATTCTTAAATTCGTCTTCATTTATCTGTGTCTTTATACACGACGCAGATAATAGATATTATTTTATCGTAAAATTTTTAAAACATTTCGAAAGATATGTAAACATTTCGTCAGATACGTTTATAACGTAACAGTAATAATACATACATACATACATTTACACTCACGCCTGTCACCCAGAGGGGTAGGCAGAGACTACGGACTTTCATTTGGCGCGATCCTGACACTCCTCTCGCCTCCTTTACATCCATATATCTACGCATACACGCTCGTCGGTTAAGGGTACTCCTAATCTGGCCCATTTTTAATGTATCGCCGATTTGGTCGATAAACCTTCGTCTAGGGCGTCCCTTCCCGACCCTGCCGTTCACTTCTGCAACATAAATTTGCTTTGTCACTCTTTCCTCGTTCATTCTTTCTACATGACCAAACCACCGAAGCATTCCTTTCTTAATCCTTGTCACAACGTCATCTTGTAAACCACACTTTTCTCTTATCACACTATTTCTCACTTTGTCATTTAGATTCAGCCCTAGCATACTCCTTAAGGACCGCATTTCTAGAGCATTTATTCTACTTTCATGCTTCTTCTGCCAGACCCAACTTTCACTACCATACATTAAAGTAGGGACTAACATAGCATTATGAATTGCCATACGTGCCTTATTTGACACATTCTGACTCCTCATAATAGCGTGTAGAGCCCCATTCACTCTCTTTCCTGCGTTCACTCGTCATCCTATATGCTTATCATATCTACCATCCCTGCTAAATAAACATCCCAAATATACAAACTCATCCACTTGCTCAATCAACTCCCCTTCTATTCTTATTTCACATAACGTTTTACTTTCTTCTCTTTCAAAAACCATCACTTTCGTCTTACTTGCGTTAACTTTCATACCCCTTTCTTTTAATGACCAGTTCATTAAAGTAACCATCATTTGCAACTCGGCCGCCGACGATGCAAATACGACTTGATCATCGGCGTACAAAAGGCATTTGACGGTTGACTCACCCATTCTCAATGCACTTTCTTCAACTTTCAAAGTTTGCAAACAACTGTCCATAAGTAGGTTAAACAGCCACGGGGAAGCCACACATCATAATAATATGCTCAGTAGTGGTTGTACATAGTAATAGTTAACAGTAATGGTGGACGCATAAGCGAATCTGTATCTGATTTCGTCTTGTGGATGCCGGAAAAGGTAACTATTGGAAATTCAAGGAAGATTTATGGCTTTCGATATAACCATCATGTTTAACCAGACGTAAAACAGTCAGAACGGCGACTCTGATGTGAAAATATCCTATATTTCGATACCAATTTTTGTCAAATTGATATTCCCAGATCAAAATCCGACCAAACCACACGGTTTTAATGACCTAAACAGTAATCTAAACAAAGACTTTTATGTGTACTACTAAAACAAACTGGCAATTCAGAACGAAAACTATATCACAGCTGGGGGTCGCGCGATCGCCGGCTGAGCGGGTGAAATAATCTTTAAATCACGTTGACAAACTGCGCACATAAATAATGACAGCGTTTTCTTGGTCATATAAAACAAAATCAGTGGGTGTCGGAAACAACGTTTGCGCGTTTACCAAACAAAGAACTAGTCTTCTCGCCCGCTCGCAGTAGTTTAAAGGAGTTACGGATAACTGACCGTAACTTAGTGCGCAAAGCACAAAGTATTATTACAGTTGTGCGCATCTAGTAGTACTTATACATAGTAGTGTTTGTTGATAACAGTTTACCTTGTCTTAGGAAGGCGGCTCAAGGTGGTGAGATGAAGTGGTGCGGCGAGGCGGTGGGGCGCGGGTCTCCAGCGTACTTCGCGCGCGTGGCGCGGCTGCGGCGCGCGCTGCTGCTGCTGGCGGCCGCCGCCTGCACGGCCGCCGCCCTGCTCTACTGGCGCCAGCAGAGCGACGACCGCGCCACCAGACCACTGCACAGTCTCTACACGTGAGTCGAATCCAACGTTCTCTTAGAGTTCTGTGTCTTATACTGAAATTTAATAAAACCACACCGATTGCAACTGCGCCCTGCTCTACCGGCGCGGCGGCAGCAGACCGACGATCTCGCCACCAGACCCTTCCACAGCTTCTACACATACGTTTTCTAGACTTATGTGTCATAACACTGATTTGGCGAAAGCGCCGGACGACAAACCGCCATCTGCTTTACTGTTGGCACCGAGTGACGGCCGACTTTTGGTAAATTGCTTCTGCAGCCCAGCAACCTGTTGACACCTGCAACGAACGCAAAATAATAAAAGTAAACAGGCGTAACAAATGTCTGAGGACTTTGACTGAATGTCTCAAAGCCACACAACAGTAGATTTACTTCTGTTCAGTAGGAGCGATAGGTATAAGAGTGGCACTTGGATACACATATTGAGGTGATCGCTACCATGCAGATTTTTTATATTTACGCGAACACTACACATTTAAATAAAACTAGTTTTACGGATTTTATCGCGTATATTAACGAATTTTATATTCCCGACGTTTCGAGTATTTTACAGCACCCATGGTCACGGAGTTGACTGAGGTGTTAGACGTCCCAATGTCATAGTTAACTACGGATTAAAAATTATTAATTTTCGTTCCGATCTATGCAGTATGAAATTACAGTATCTTGAAGTCTTGCAGTTGTATGCTTGGGTTGGGATTTAATTTTATTAATTATAGGATCCCAAGCAGATGGTAGCACTCAGCCATCTTCTCTATTGAAATTAGGATGTTTTTTAATTTCAATTGACTCGCGAATCATCATTGGAAGGAATCGGTGATCTTTAGCGAGGATTTGTGGTCTATCGAATCTAATGTAGTGACAGGGGCGATCCTGTATGTGTTCACAGACTGCAGACTTCCCGGAGCGTCGATTCTTCACATCAGCTATGTGTTCTTTAACGCGGGTTTTTATTGATCTTTTAGTATGTCCTATATAAGAGAGACCACATTCACAATCAAGCTTGTACACTCCTGCATCTTGCAGAGGGACATTACACTTGACTGATGGTAAAAACTGACCAATCTTCTTCGGCGGCTTGAAGTATGTTTTAATGGAAGCACGCTTCAAGATGTAGCCAATCTTGTCAGTGACAGCTCTGACATATGGCAGTACAGCAGGCACTCGCTCGACTGTGGCCTGCTTCTCTCGTTCACTGTGACGTAGGCGCGGGACCTGAAGCTTATTGTCATGCAAAACTTGCTTGACTCGGCGGCCAGGTGTTTACTGTCACAGATCCCTCATGTTCTCTGAAACAAAGATTTACCCACGGTATATAACACGGTATCGGTAACTGTGAAGGATGGTGATGAGATTCACCGTTTAAATATCTATCTGTATGAATCTTTTTTCTATACACAGTGTGGCTCAAGGATCAGGATTCCGAATTACTAACACATCTAGAAAAGCTAAAGAATTGTTTGCCAGTTAAGATGGTCCAAAAATGCAGTTACTTTATCTAAAGGTAGAATTGTGAAAGTGTCGTCTACGTACCGCTTGTAGAATCTTGGATTTATGGGAGAAGTAAGCAGGGCTTTCTCTTCAAAGTCCTCCATAAATATATCAGCGATAATGGGAGATACAAGTGAGCCCATCGCCACACCATCTACTTGCTTGTAGAACTGTTCCTTCCACAATAGGTATAAGGCAGTGTCTGAGTACTGCATATTCTACGGGCATGTTGTTTTCCTCCAGCCTTCTAGTTACAATAGAGATGCAGTCTTCAACAGATAAGCATGTGAACAGAGAGTGCACATCAAAACTGACCATAGTTTTTTTGTCTGCCAGATGTAGGTCTTTAATCTCGCTGACACAATAGTAGGAATCCTTTGTGTGTGCTCTTGTATGTCCCCTGAGCGGTACGAGTATTTTCGCTAAGTGTTGAGCCAATCTGTTAGTGAATCGATTTGGCTCACTATGGAACGTAGTGGAGCATTGGGCTTGTGTATTTTTGGTAACCCATACAACTTCGGTGGTTTGGCCCACGTAGGTATTATCGATTTTACGTCCAGATTTAATTTTTGGGAGTGTTTCTTTATGAGCTCACTAGTTGTTTTAAGTGTGTTATTTGTCGGTTCGTTTTTAACATTTTTATAAGTGCTTGCATGCGACAAAAGTTCTTGTATTTTAGAATTATAATCTGGCGTATCCATGACATTTCCTTTTCATTGACATTTATTTAACTTTACGATACGAACGAACGAACGAAAATAAGTTAATATACGCGATAAAATCCGTAAAACTTGTTTTACTTAAACGCTACCATGCTGTTTCCAAAGGTTTTAATACTTCATTGTATAAAATATTATACGTAGGTCACTCAATAAGTTGTGAGATGCTCGAAATTTAGAAATGGAACGCACCCGTGTTGTATGTTTATAAAAAGCAAATTTATTTAAAAATAGAACTTTATAAGCTAAATTGCTCAATATTAAAAAAAAACAAAGTTCTATTAATTTTCCTGCAACGCTTCCCGTGCTGTTCATTATAACGATGGATCTTAACCGTGAACATTTGCGCGCTATGATATATTATGATTTTAAATTTGGTTTAACATAACAATTAAGTTTACAACGGTTACAATCACCTCCATCACGCGCAAACATTTTATGTGGTTTGCTGAATGAATTCAAACGGGGTAAAATTAATCTTAAAGATGACCAAAGAACCGGGGCTCTGCAAACAGCAGTAACGGCAGAAAATGTATGGATTACTGAAATGTTTGTGCGAGAAGACCCACGAATCACATATACGGACATCGAAAAGATTGTAGGCATTCGTTCGGGGAGCAAGCTTTGTTATCGATGAATCCCTCGTTTGCTCTCCGAAAACAGACTCGTGTGGATTGGTGCCATGAAACGCGTCTACGTTTTGAAAACTGGGCATCTAGGCGTGTTTCTCAAATCATTACTGGTGATGAGACATGAATCTCTCAATATGATCCGGAAAATAAAAGGCAATCATCGGTATGGATCTACTCAGAAGGACGGTTACCGACAAAACTGCAAAGACCTCGCAACGTCGGTCAAAAAATGATGACTAGTTTTTTTTTCGCGGAGCAGACATTCGTCGACGTCAATGCTGGAAAATTGTAGGTCAGTCAACTCTGAATGGTATACTACAGTTGCATTACCCAAAGCTTTTCAAGCTGTGCGGTAGAGAAGATCAACGACCGGGCTTCGGGGAATCATGCTGCATCACGATAACGCCTCTTCACATACCTCCCTTAGAACAAAAGCATTTATTAGGAATCTGGTGTTGAAACTCTAAGTCACCCACCCTACAGCCCTGACTTAGCTCCTTGTGATTTCTTTTTGTTACCAAGAGTCAAAGAAAAAAAGGGCAAGTTTTTTCAAGCGCCGAAGAAGCCGTGGTTGCCTACGAAGAAGCTATTTCCGACCTGTAAGATCAAGACTGGCAAGTGTTTTCAGAATTAGTAATGGAACTTTGTATAGAGTATGATGGAGAATATTTTGAAAAGATGTAAAAAAATATTAATAGTATCTAAAACACTTTTTGTATATCTTAAAACTTATTGAGTGTACTACGTATTTATGTAAATTAGTGTCCAAAAAAGTCCCGCTGGGTTTCTTGCTGATTCTTCTCAGGACGGAGGTTTTATTCCTAACCAGTGGTAAAGCTTAAATGACTTTCAATATTCTTGTAATCTATATTGAATAAAATTTATTCTATACTATTCTACACAATAAGATATAGATAATCGTGGCGAATATGAGGACTCCTTAGGTGGGTTAGATCGATTATACCTGATATCATAAGCAATCATAGTATAAGATACATTAAAAAATAATGAATATCTATACAAATAAATAAAATTGAAGTGTCTGTTTGTAATGTCAAAATTACAGTTTTTTACTAAATGCATATGAAAGTAAATACGATACCTATAACTAAAATACAATTTTTAAAATTTTTGTCTGTCTGTCTGTCTGTCTGTCTGTCTGTCTGTTTGTTCCGGGTAATCTCCGAAACGGCTGGACCGATTTTGACGAGAATTTCACTGGCAGATAGCTGATTTCATAAGGAGTAACATAGGCTACTTTTATTTTAGAAAAAGAATCAGGGTTCCGCGCAGAAACATAAAAACCCTAACACGTGAACGAAGTCGCGGGGAACAGCTAGTTAGATAATATGTTAAGAAATATTTCGCACAGCAACCCTCTAACTTTATAGGTGAACGTTAAGTTATATTAAAAAGAAGTAATCGATCTTTTCCAGTGGTGTCGAGCCGGAATGGACGTGGGTGTGTCGGAACGAACGTTGCGAACGACTGCCGGCTGCAGAGACGTCTTCACTGCAGTCCTTACCCACTTGCAACATGCTGTGTGCTTCCACCCAGCTGTGGCCTCAGCCTACCGGTCCCGTAAGTCTCGCCACCGCCGCTGTACCAGTACGTGCATCCGCTTTTACTTTACACATTGTGACATCACCGTCTGGTCACGTCTCCGATCACCTCGAAGACGCCTTCAGCTTATTTCTAGAAGACTTAAAAGCTTTAGAAAAGAATACGATATCTGATAAACGCAGCGATATCGGCCCAGCTCATGAGGTCCTCGTGCGGATATCCGTAAATGGCAGTAGCGACGTACGGATGCTTATCGACACCGACGAGAGCTACAAACTGTCCCTCCGACCCAAACGTAACACACTGGTTGCCGATATCACAGCTCATTCATTCTGCGGGGCACGACACGGCCTTGAAACACTGTCTCAGTTAATCTGGCTAGACCCTTACGCCGGTTCGTTGCTAGCTCTCGAAGCTGCCACCGTGGAAGATGCCCCTCGGTTTCGCTACAGAGGACTCTTACTAGATACCGCGAGAAATTACTTCCCAGTGGGAGAGATTGTACGGACTATCGACGCAATGGCCGCCTGCAAACTTAACACGTTCCATTGGCATATTAGCGATTCACAATCATTTCCTTTAAGATTGAATAGTGCACCACAGCTAGCTCAACACGGGGCGTACGGGCCGGGAGCCGTGTATACCACCGAAGAGGTTCGAGCGATAGTACGTCGAGCCAGATTGCGCGGTATACGTGTGTTGATAGAAGTTGACGCGCCGGCCCACGTCGGCCGCGCTTGGTCTTGGGGACCTCAAGCGGGGCTCGGACAACTCGCTTACTGTGTAGAAGTAGAGCCCTGGAGTGCTTACTGTGGTGAACCACCATGCGGACAATTAAATCCACGGAACCCACACGTGTATGAGCTTCTCGAACGAATTTACGCCGAGATAATTCAGCTGACTGGTGTCGACGACATTTTCCATTTAGGAGGGGATGAGGTCTCCGAGCGCTGCTGGTCGCAGTACTTCAATGACACGGATCCGATGGATCTATGGTTAGACTTCACCCAGCGCGCGATGCACGTACTGGAGCGCGCCAACGGCGGCAAAGCACCAGAAATGACACTATTATGGTCTTCTCGACTGACGCGCTCGCCGTATTTGGAAAGATTAGACACGAAAAAATTCGGCATTCAAGTGTGGGGCGCGTCGCGGTGGCCTGAGTCGCGGGCCGTGCTCGACGCCGGCTTCCGGTCGGTAATATCGCACGTGGACGTTTGGTATTTAGACTGCGGGTTCGGGTCGTGGCGGGACAGTTCGGACGGACATTGTGGGCCGTACCGGTCGTGGCAACAAATCTACGAGCACAGGCCGTGGGTGGACGAATCGGTGGGGGGTATGGGGCAGGTGGGGGACGGGTGGCGCGTGGAGGGCGGCGAGGCGTGTCAGTGGAGCGAGCAGCTGGCGGCGGGCGGGCTGGACGCGCGCGTGTGGCCGCGCACGGCCGCGCTGGCCGAGCGCCTGTGGTCGGACCGGGCCGAGGGCGCGGCGGCCGACGTCTACCTGCGCCTCGACACGCAGCGCGCGCGCCTCATGGCGCGGGGAGTCCGCGCGGCGCCGCTGTGGCCGCGCTGGTGCACACACAACCCGCACGCCTGCCTCTAGCGGGACACCACGCCCGCCTCTACTGCGGCACCTCTACCGCTTCTAGCGCGGAACTTCGCCCGCCTCTAGTGCGACACCTCGTCCACCTCTAACGCGACACTTCACCCGCCTAGATGACCGTTGAACAGTCGTTATTTTTTATATATCGGAAGTGACAAACTAACATACAGTCCACCTGATGATATGGCTTCTGCAGTCCATGGACACCTACTACTACCTTCAAACAAGAAAGCTACAGATGTGTTGTCTGAGCTCTAAAATGGATTGCACAGCCTGTAATTACACTGCCTCTCTATACCCTTCAAACTGGAACACTTACCAGTGTAGCGCTGATAAGTGTTCCAGTATTTGGCGGCAGAAAAGTTAACGAGGGTGGCCTCTACGTAGACGGACTCTTGGCCGAACAAGTCTTACCATCTAAAGACTCACTCACTGGCGTAGCAAACGTGTTAAAGTATCTTCGATAACACGATTCCCGATAGGTTAGTTATACATTCATTAGTCGGCGATTGGTAAAATACCAATTTAAAGTACATAATTGTATAATTCTATAAAAGATGACAGATACATCTTCAAACGAACCTACTTAACTACCTAATTGAATCTTAGATTTAATCAAGGTATATTATATATACACCTCTGCAAGGCAGAGCGCCTACACACGCTCTAAAATTTAAGAAAAAGAAAAATACGTAAAAAGGTCTTAGACAAATGAAACTTCTTGATCATCATCAGCCCTTAATAGTCTACTGTCAGATATGGGCCTCTTACGTTGTAAGAAAAATTTGCGGGCGGTTTCACAATCGCTGTACCAAACGTCTCGCACCTGGAACTTGACGCTGCTGCCCGTCGCCAGTCTGGGTATTTACATCTGGCGTAAACACCGCCATCTATCGGAATACATATGATTTTTTCTTTTTTTAACTCAAAATAAGCATAAAAACATAATAATTGCAACTGGTCAACATTTATCCATCAATCAGGATTCAGGACTAAATACCCATTTTATCGTCAGGTGGAATTTTTGGTCAAGCACTGGTCTATAATAAGTAAAAAAATGCTACAAACGACGAAAACGTTACAAATAAATACTTTTTATAAACGACAATAAGGTGCTATTGGTATAAATAAAAAAAACTAAATTGCAATTATTAATTCCAAAGCCTACTACTGCTATCATTTTACACATTAAATAAAGTAAAATAAAACATACCATAGCACGAAGACGAGCGGAAAACTTTGGCACTTAAAAATGTTAGATAGTATGTATGCCATTACTACTAACTCGAACTTTAGTAAACTATTAAGTAATCTGTGCTCGAACTTGATTGACGAGATATATTGTACATAATAGTGATGATGAAGATACTTAGTCGAATTAATTTATGTACAGCGCTTAATGATATTATTAGCTAAGTAAACGATTTACAGTGTAAGCTAATTTAAGCATACGATTATGTAAAATGTTATAATTATAAGACATGTATACATTATTAGCCTTTAAGAATTTTACATTTGTCATATATGTTTGTTGGTGATATTTCTATCAATCTCCACCCACGACTATGATTTTTAAAAGATTAACATTTTTAAGTTAAATTGTACAATTTCAATTTTTAAGCAACACTGAAAAACATAATTAATTTAATTGACTTTAATTGAAGTTAATTTACTATTGTTCGTTATATTTAAACTTAGAGTTGAAAATGCAAAGGAGAATAAATTCTATGGTTTATACCATGGTATATAAAAAAACAAGAGGAAGAAGCAAAATGCATAATTTGTAGCGAAACCACTGTCGCCAAACTCACACATACTCAAGAAAGAAATATGTAGTGTGTACCGACAATTGTGTACCATTTCAATAATTTTCGCGTGATTGGCTATTAAAAAATAAAAGAGAATAGCATTATATTACTCACCATTCACTTGAGTACGAACCATAATACCTTAAAAATAGAGATCATATTACTTTTATTGAACTAAGTTTCTAGAATTAACGTTAGATGTGTAACCCAAAAAGCTTCTAAGATTGACGTAAAAAATTTGCTAAGTGACGCTAGATGTCGCAATAATACATTCACACTATTATAGGCATTGCCCTACTTAATACCTTATTACCTGCCATATGATGTTAGTGAGGTAGTTACTCTCCCTGAACGTGAACTGGCTTATATCGATAATCAGTATAATATAATTATTATCATATATATGAACGGAATTGAATGAAGAAACTGAATATATATATATATATATATATATATATATATATATATATATATATATATATATATATATATATATATATATTGATTCAGTATTTGCAACTTTTCATTAATAATATGTTAGTAAATGAACAGGACTGTGATAAAATTTTATCGAAAACTTTAATATCGGCGTAGTCACAACACGATAGCAGCTATATTTATTCAAAATGTATTTATAGATGAACCTTAGTTTAACGAAATGAGGTTCAATATTACTTGTAATAAAGACAATTTGACATTTTGTCCATGTTCAGTCTATCAGATCATTTCTATCCAAAAAACGATAAAATTACACGTGCCTTTGGTACGAAACACCTCTATTCAAAATATTTTTCTTTTACTTTCGTTTTTACATACTCCAATATTGCACAAAACGGCATATTTTCGCATATATCACTTAAACAGCGATCCGTCAGTTCGCAACAATTTGAGCCTGCAACTGAAAGTCAATTACGCTCTACTGTCACTAATTGTGACACGCTTGCCCCGCCCACTTTGGGCTTCCTCTTGTTTTTTATATTTCGTGGTTTATACGGTTATGTCCTTAAATGATAAATTTTAACGGGTCTAATTTCCAAATGCTCAAGCGCTACTCAGTGAGGGCATCCACGACTTTTTCTGCCACCAGGGCGGCGCCACTTTACAATGAGGTAAAATATTTGACATATTCCATAGCGGTGACGATATTTCTGAACATGTAAACTTCAATGTTTTTTTCTGTATTATTAGTTATATTTTATATTAATTAGATTAGAAATGAATAAACCAAATTGTAAATATAACTAAAAGTAGAAAAATAAAAAAAGAGTTATAAAGTGAAAAAAATTTAATATCAAACCACTGACGCATTGTGTTGTGTATTAATATAATACTATACATAGTAATAAACTATTATTTAAATTCACAATTCATAATATTAAAAAAATATACTCACCAATATTTAAAAGCTATAATAATAATAATAAATAATATAAGAATGTACGGTTCGAGACCTCCTCGGGCAGTGTATGGGGCAGTGGAGTACGATCCTTTGTCATCTAGGCGAGCGGATGACGGCTACGGAGAACCACATAAGGATAAGAAGGGGTATCTTCCAGGGCGATTGTTTGAGTCAAATCTGGTTCTGCCTCTCTCTGAACCCTCTCAGTACCTTACTGGAGGGCTCCGGGAGGGGATTTCAGCTTCGAAAAGGAGGTACAAAAGTGACACACCTTTTGGATATGGACATATGGATGATCTCAAGTTATTCGCCTCCAGTCGCTCCCATCTTATGGAATTGCTAAACATCACTTGTGATTTTAGCAATTCTATTAGAATGGAGCTGGGGACGGATAAGTGTGCGATCCTCCATGTCGAAAGGGGAAGGGTTGCTAACTCTGAGGGCATAGACTTATCTATGCCCATCAGCATAAGGACCCTTTCCGAGGCTGAAACATACCGATACCTAGGTGTGTCACAGAACAGTATCGATGAGGCGGGTATAAAGCAGTCAGTTTGCGATGTGTTTTATGCACGCTTGACAAAAGTGTGGCAAAGCGCAAGCTTTCCCCATCAAGTAATGTGCCGAGATTACTTGATGGTAAAGTTAAAACTAATTTCTCAGTTAAGTGACATTGTACAAACACATACATAGACAAATAACTTTACCTCGGTCACAACTAGCGACATCTGGTGAGTGGAAGATTTTAAGACGCCATTAAGTCTCGTGCTGTCTCTATCACTTTAAGTCAAAGTGACTGTGACACCACGATACATAACAACATTTGAGTAGCTTTGAGTATTTGTCCATAAAGCTCACAGTGACACTTGCGCTTTAAGCAGTTGTTCTTTTAAGTTCTGAATAATGACATAACAATTATTAACGTACTTTCTCCCTTTGCCGACTGTATTTACCTGTAAAATCTAGACTAATCGACATGATCTGTGCTTACGAACAATTAATTAATATTTAACTTTGATAAATACATAATGGTTATATCAATGTCAAGTGAATTGATTGTGTTTGAAAATAATGTTTGTTAAATATTACCATTTAAGAAAATAGTAATAAGTGATATGCTTTATATTATGTTTGCTATATAATGGCTAGCTTACATTTTGTTATATTACACATCTTGATATTTTTATGATATATGGCAGAGAATAAAATCATCTTCGATTGTTAAGTTATTCACGCACTTCGTTAAGTAACTCACTATGAAATTTTAAACATACTTAAATTATAATTTAATTATTATAAGTATTTTATGGACAGTAAATATGTAAGTAATATGTTTTCTGAGATTCTTTTGATATTTATATTATTGTTATATCACAGTTATATTTATTAAGCTTTTTCAGAATTAGATCTGTATTTGTAATTTTATATTTACTTATGAATTTTTATTTTGTAAATATAAAAACAGTATTGTTAAAATTATTAAATTATTTATTACATTAAAATATGTTGTAGGACAAGTTCACTTTGTACAAAGTGCTCTGTGCGAAGAAGTTGTACGTGTTTGCTACATTTTATAAAGTACAGAGGTCAAATGTTGCTATGTGTTTGTCTTTTCGTATGTTGTTGTGTGCGTAGAAAGGTAATAGGAAATATTTAATCCTTTCTCACACGAGGATATTCACTAACTATTATTCTTTCTTATATAACCATAGCAGAGTTTAACAATGTTAATTTACCTAATTGCCAATGCACAATGTGTGTTTAGTCACGAAACTTTAGTGTATAATATGCAG